AATGAGGAACACCATTTCAATATTCTCTAATATTCTCCTCGTGGATATAAGAAACTAAAATTGGGGCTCTGATAATTTCTTATGAATATAGAAATGAGGTAAGTGATAAAAGAAAACGGTTGGATTGCACACGGCTCACCTTGAAGTAAAAATTTGGCGCTGGCTGTTCCGAGGGAGTTTTTCGCACGACACTCGTATTCTCCGGAGTCCACGCGTACCAGATTAACAATTTCCAAAACCGATTCGACTTTTTCGTTGGAAAGCCTGGGATGCAAGTGGAATGTAAAACGATTGAATGCAAATTGTTTCGGTACTGTACACCAAACACTAGCGATTGTGATAGTCTTTACCAATTTGCAAACAAACCGGGGGATAAGCAGAGCGTTGTTCAGCCACCGAGGACAATCGGTAAGACATTCTGTGGAAGAACAGTTATCCGATTGGCTAATTGAGTCCGACCACAGGGAATGAGGTTCGACTCACCGGACCGAACAGATTGCACGGTTGCGGACAGATTCGGACTGACATTCACACGCACGCACGCACTCAGGCGCGCATATGTACAGTGAAATGGCTGCTCTTCATGGTTAATGGCAACCAACACTTAACTCAATGCACACACACTCATTCACGTACGCGAGTACACGTCGTGGATCGAGTTGTGGTCGGTGGTCGTTGTTGCGCGACAGATTATTTATGTGAATTTGCCGTGTTGAGACATAAGATATCGGTGTGCCAAAGCTCAAATCTGAATCGCCAGACGATAAGCAAATATTATTCTATAGCCACAAATCTCGTTCGTTGATCGGCATATGTATGTCTGTACGAATTTGTGAAACGATAGGAAACCGTTAAACAAGAACCAGTGTATTATTGTTGTTCTCGTTTGGCCGCGGATTGTTTGGGTATGACAGAGAGTTGAGGAGAGGAAACGAGAAACCAAGTCAGTCTCGGCCAAACAGCTCACGAATGACAAATTTACTAGTTCTCAATAAAGCCACTCAGGATTTGTACGCTCTCATTCACCCAAGAAAATTTCCAAAGGTTTAATGTTTGTATGTGAACCAGATTGTAGATATCCGTGCACCAAGTAGTTCAAATGCGATTGAAATCTGAAGCTAAAAGGATGGGGTAAAATAATTTCCGCACGAACACATCCACTTTTGTGAAACGGACTTATCTCTGATGAAATCTAAGGGAAAGTGTTTGAAACAATTGTTTTATTCAGATCGATAATTCACCAATGGTGTTGTTGTTGTTATTATCGCTGTGTTTCCCTGTTTGGGTGCACACGCGCACTGAGAAACGGGAGTGCACGATTCAATCGGACATTCTAAAGACCATTCAGAATGATCCTTGGTGTCACAATCGTTTGATTTTCGCAAATCCAATTTTTATGGAAAATCATTCCTATTTGTTGAAAAAACAGTATATTTACAGTCATTTGAGTGAACGCGCAAACTTTTCTTCAGGTATTCTAACCGAGCACTAGTTTAAGCGGATTAATGGCAACAGCGTGAGAAAATCTTCTGTATAAGAACTTAGGCAATTTCATTAATTGATAAGAGTTAACAGGAACAGTTGTGGAGTAACATTTTAGATCGAAGGAAATCTGCTATATATATATATATATTTGTGGATTGTCGAATACAACAGTCATGGAGACTTGAGTGGTAAATTAAATGTTTAGTGGAATGCAGGCAACGGCGTAGGATCAAGTTCGTTTAAGACTAGCATTAGCAAAGTGATATGTCTCAGCTGCGGATAAATTCCTGCGGCAGCTTTTCGAACGGCTTCGGTCTCCTTGAACGATTACATCAAGAATTTGCTGAATAAATCTACGAGAAAGTTGGTGATGTGATTAAATGAAATCACCAAAGATTTTGATGCGTTGAACCCGATGTCATTTGCGATTGATTAGGGACAAGCTGCAACGAGTATTTACTGGAGTGCCGATCAACCCTCAGATATCATCACTATATTCCAGATTTGGGGATTGTTTCGATATAATGCTATTTGTTCTCCCGCAAATTATCGTACATGGTTTACAAAAACTTCAAATGTTTAGCGATTAATATGTATTCCTGTGTGACCTCATGGCCAACATTGATAGGACTGGCTTTTGATCCAGAAACCGTAGCTGTTATAGTGCGCGTCGAAGAAAATCTCATGAAAAATCCATTACCGACCCCCGAAATTAATAACTGGAAAAGTTTCTCCAGTAATCTATTGCGGTTTATACAATTAAATTGTTTAGAAAAGTTGTCCAACACTAATTCCACTGTTTCACCATGGTAGACCGCATTTATGCTTTCTTCTCGACCATTGATGCCAAAAGTTTTGTTGCGATGGAGATGATTTCTTCACGTATCGAATAACAAATTTTAGTATTTGGGACAGTTTGGGAAGAAGAGTGTTGAGGCGATTGTTAGCTGGATCACTATTACTGCAGTGTTGTACATTAGTGACGTCACATATTGCTTTCATAATTGCAGGAGCACGATATAATCATAAATGCGTTGGACTAGTTTACAAATTGGCTCAACTTTGTTGCTCGTCAGGATAATGGGGGTTTCGTTTTGGGTATTATCTATCCTCGAAGATACATTTCTGTTCAAACATAATAGATTCGATTTTAGGTTTTCCAATAAAAATGGTGTTGGTGTTGGAGGTGGGATTTCGTACAGCAACTAAGGGAGTGACAGTCCAGTGAACAGTTGACCAAATTGACATCTTAGTATTTCGGCTACGTCTGTCGCTGTGACTGAAATCTGTCCTGCCAACTTTAGCGGCGGAGCGCCAAAGTTTATTTTCAGGATTCAATAATAGGTTTATGAATACCATTGCATTATTATTTCAATTTCCATGTTAGCTTTTATGGGAACATCAACTGGTCTTTTATCATGGTGCAGTGAGGCTGCAGGTAACAGTAGGTGTGCGCTGTGCAGTTACAAGGAAATGTTTTTGTGATGACGCCTGCTCTGGAGCGGCGCGTTACATTTTCTGGACATCTGCGATTAATCAAATCTGAATGGTGAGGACAATGACACGCGTACTGCTTCTGACTACACGCCATAGGCAGGTAGTGCCAGCCAATCCGAGACAGTGCAAACAGAAGCAGAATTATACAAGCAACACTGCAATATGATTGGTGGAAGCCTAGATAACCAGTGATCTTTTGTACATATTATGCAATCGATTTCATTTCTTTCAATGAACGAACTATGAGTTGCCAGTTTCGTGACCTTTTCCTCGCGTCTCGGTTACGTGGGATATTGCGATCTCGTGTCATTACGTTCCAGTACTTCCGCAATCCAATCCGTGATAGCTGATCCTTGATTCGTGTCCTGTGGTTCCTGTTGCGTGGTTCGTGTTTCGAATTCCATGCGTATTACTGCTACTACTACTACTACTACGAATATTACAGTTTTACACGCGTGTTTGAAAGCAGTTCGGTGATGTTTTACAAGTTGAGGAAGTAACGTGTTTGATATTTGCGACGGACCTCACCAATTCTTTAAATCCATCCGAAAATGCTCGCCAGGATACCCGGGCATCACATTTCTCATTTTGGAAAACCAGTGGAATGTCTCACGCCAGAATCTCCGACACGATGGAGGTGCGTAGCAACTGTGGTAAAAAAAATCAGCGAGCTCGCTGTGTCGTTTGATTAAAACCAATTCCCAGGTCAACGTAAACTGATTTGCATCAAACGTAGTGGTTTACTTCACGTGGTTAATAAATGCTTACGATTCCACCAACTGTCGTTGGGAAGTAAACAATTTCGGCAGATGTAGTCATCCTCAATAAGAAAATGAGTAGATTTCCATGGCAGGAGCAGCAACCTATAGTTGCCTCTGTAGTTCGATCATTTATCAAGTAATTGACGTGCTGCAATAGTCGCATTGTGCACCACGATGAGTCGGACGCCGTAGGATAATTAGTTCACATTGTACTTTGCTGCTAAACCCAGGCAGAACATCGTCAGCTCTCGGAGAGCTATCCTATCTGAGCAGCGTCATGCTCGAGTAAGCGCTGTTCTGAGTTTAGAATGTCAGTTATTATCTGAGTTCCGACAAACGCGACAATGCTCCGTGGATCAGTTAATTAAACCAGTTCCACCGCTAGAACTTTGGTGAGGAAACCCTGAGAACTGTAGTAGTTGTTGAATACCTTGGCAGCTACATCTCNCTCGCATACAGAAGGCTCGGTTGGCATTTGCTAACTTGAGACATCTGTGGTGCCCTCGCGATATCGGGTTGTCTGTGAAGGGTAGAGTGTATGCCGCGACAGTTCGGCCAGTCCTGCTATACAGTGCAGAAACTCGGCCATTAATGAAACAGGACAACGATAGACTGTCGGTGTTTCAACACCGGGGTCTACGCAGCATTGCATGAATGTGATGGGGTAGCCGGATGAGCAATGCTGATGTTAGGGGCAGAGTTTTGGGTATCCGCGATCACCCAGTGGAGCAAGTGA